TACAACAGGAAACTAATAGAATATTGCATGGAGCTAAAGGTGCAGAGGGATACAGACAGGGAGAATGTAATTATCCAAACTGGAACTTGGCAGAAAATTGGACTCCATTTGCTCTCCCCTTCTCTAGCTAAAAGTTTCTCAGGAATGAGATGGTACGTTTGGGACGTTCTACAACAATCACAGAATCCAAAGGAGATAGACCAGGTGGTATTTCACCCTTGAGCAAGCTAGCAACTAAAATAATTGTTGCTGATCATCTGATCAGTACAAACACAGCATCAGTGTGTAGATTTTGTGGGTGTGATGATGCGTGCACTGCAGAAGAAATTCTGAGCCCACGAAACACTGTATGTTGCCATAGCTGTTGATCCAGACAGACGGAAAGAATTAAGGGATTCTCATTGCAGGGGTCACAACTGCAGGTGTCATTGGGAAATTCAGCACAGCTGTCTCGAGACACAGACAAAGACCGTAAAACAGAGAAGAGTAGTCAATCCCCCTGAGGTACACTCAGGGGCTGGGTAACCTGAATAGGAATTTAGGCTAGGAACAACTTGGGACAGAAAAAGAGAATATGCCATTTGTATGGTGACAGATATAATACTGCAGCTTTTTGCTTAAGTTTTACAGTGAAATTTCCCTTCTCTCTTTTATCTCTCTGATCTATTTAAAATCAGACTCCTCACAATTTTCAAATGACACATCTGCAAACTTCTCCCTTCTTTTATGACATTTCAGTTTCATTAATGTGATCATATATCTAGTTTTGTCCTCACTTTGCTTACTTTCTCAAACGTTTCTTTTCTTTTGTAGTATGTGCTTGCAATGCCATGCAGAGCACCACATGCTTCTCTTCTTCTGCTGCAGATGGAAAGAAATTAGCTGCCAGAGGTACATTTTAATGTGCGTGTAATCAAGTTAAATTACATTTTCCCCCATGGAAATTATTGTGGCAAAAATTAATCTGACTAATTACAGCTCTTTTGGAAAACTTTCCTTAAATCTTTAGCCAAGATTTTCAGATAAAGGAGCCCAAACTTAAGCCCCCAAATCTATATGAAAGCTCTTAAATAACTAGCCTGACTTTGAACAGTATTTAGTCCTGCACCTGCTTAGAAATTATCAACAAAAATATTTGTGATAAAACATACCATCTTCATAAAAAAATGACTTCTTTGAAAATCGAAATGACATTTTATATTTGGTCAGATGACCGCAAATTAAAACATTTGGACTTGTTGAATCCAACTTAAATAATATACTGTACTTTCTCAAAATCAAGATGAGGGTTTTCACCCCCAATTGTAGGAGGTGTGTGAGGGAGACCATGTGCTAGTAGGGGACATGAATGAGGGAGACCGCAGTGTGTGACCTGGGGAGAAGTGTGGGGCAGACTGCATGGTCTGACCACCTCCCTGCTGCCTACCCTTCCTGCTTTGGCTCTGGCTCCAGTCCTGGCTCCAGCCCCTCTGGCCAGGCCCGGAGCTGCCACTGTTGCTTCTCCCTGGCTAGGTCAGGGCTGTAGCTAGAGCTCCCACCCAGAAAGTAAGCAACAGAGGGTTTGGGGACCAGGAGGTGGAGGGACAGATACAGGCATGGGGGGCAAGGGGCAAGAAAAGCAGGTGGCATGGGGGGCAGCCACTGGGCATGGGCAGGAGTGAGACAGGGACAGGTATGGGCAGCAGTGGGACACGGAAGTGGGGCACATGGCAGGGGGGCAGGCAGTGCGGAGGAGGGGCAGGCACCAGGGACAGACAACAGGGGAGCAGACACAGGTGGCAAGGGGTGAGAGTCTGGCCCTTTGCCCTCTACTGTTGCTTTGGGGAGGGGGGTGACCTTAGATGACCCCTCCAATAATTAGCTTCTATACGTGGAAAATAAATTTGTTATAATTTTCCATTTATAGAATTCAATTATGGGGAGTCATCTTAAATTCAGAGTCATCTTAGATTCAGATAAATACGGTGAATCAATGCAAATTTATGCTATGTGTACCTGAGCTACTTATCAGTGGGAATTGTAGTTTAGGAGCCTTAGTCTCCTTATGGGTTGGGCTTTCTGTTTCCCATAATGCAACAGTCTCTCTCCTTCAGTTGCACCAACCCAGTGCATCATAGGAGTCAGATCACCATTGTGCATTATGGAAGATGGAGCCTATTTTATAGCAGAGAATGGAGACATGAGGCACTTGCTATAAATAGTTCCCAGGAGGAAATAACTTAAAAGTCAAGTCAAGCTGAACTGAAATGTTTTGATTTGGAAATGTCAAAACCTGTCGTTTTAACATTCCTGAACTGCAACATGTTTTTAACTTTCTGTTCCAAGGAAAATTTGGTATTTTGACTTCTTCCTGATGTGGGACAAAAACAAATGTCAAAAAGTATCGGAATCCCTCATAGGACAGAGATTTTCATTTTTACTAGATCTGCTCAATACCCACAGCTCCCATTGATTTCAGCTGATCTCAGCATTTCAGTAATAATCACAATGTCCTAACCTAGTGAACATTATGATGCCAAGTTACGCTGAAACATGTATCCTTTCGAACAATACACTCTATTTACAGTCTTTTGCTAGGGGGGATGCTTCTCTTGTATACAGCTGGGCTTACAGATTTATTTTCTTAGAAGACTTTGAGACTATGCAAAGGGAAAACTTGTTGATCTGTCATTAAAACGAATGCTTTCTTAGAATAAATAGGCTATAGTCCCATTTGATGTCAATAATTATCACAGACTGAGCATATGCCATGCCAATCAGGAGTTGTAGGGGAATAGTACTAGAGAGAAGGAAAATATTACTGTATAACTGAACTAAAAGCCTACAGCAGTGGTTTTCATCCTCCTTAGTCTCAAGGCACCACACAGAAAATGCAAGCTTTTAGCTTTCACTCAGTTTTTTGACTATGGAAAAATAACAGGACAATTCTTCTGTTGCAAAGAACTCAGCAAAGCTACCATGGGTCAGAATGTTTTTGATACTATAGATTCCTATTTGAAATCTCTGGGTTTATCTTGTGAATCATGTGTAGGTGTTTGTGTACCTAACAGGGATAATATTACAGGGCATCCCATGACACCCATAAAAAGATCTTATGGCACTGCAGGGTGCCACAGGACCCCAGCTGAGAACCAGTGCAGCATTGTATCTAACGCCATATGTACTGGGTCCATATTTCATTGGCCCTGCCCAGACAAAACAGAAGTTGGTGGTCATAGTTTCTTGGCTATCTTCCTGCACGCGAGTTTTTCCAACTGTACAGTTGACAAAGCCAGCTCCTACATCACTTCCTTTGCAGCTCCCTATGCAGAAAGGGCTGTGTTCAGGGTGGAAAAGAGCATGGCTATATTCCAGCTATCCTCATTTGGTGAATTGTTTCATTGTAAGTATTGTGGGCAGCTGTCACATGTTTCATGCGGACTCATACTAACCTGAATTCTGGGCTCTGCAGAGAACTGGGAAGTCATAACCAGCTCACTCCTTGATGGCTTTTCTGGGTGCACCAGGAGTGCTCCTGAGGGCACTTTTTATAGCTTTAAAAGGATGTGTATCATGCTACAAATGTAACATCTGTCCGCAGCCTAAGTTAAAGAAAAGTATGGGTACAAGAGCAAATAACTGGTCACAAACAAATTTTAGATTGGAAGAGAGAAGCTTGGGAAAGATCTTCCAGGCAAGGATGGAGTTCAAAGGGTTAAAGAAGTAACATGATAGGGAATGGTCAGTGTTCATGGAGCAATGATCAGCTCCTGTGATATGTGGATTCAAGTATTTGCTATACTGTGATTTGGTGCCTGATAATCCTATGCTTGAAGGTCTCTTCTAGTTTCCTGTAGACTCAAGGAAAATCTTTTAAATTTTTTATGAATCTTTTTTCCCCCTTTATTTGACTGCTTTTTGTGGGTTTTGTTGCTGTTGATTTTTTGCCTTACTCCAAAGCATTGGACATTGGCTGCAGAGAGAGGTGGGAGTTTGGATGGAGTGTGCTAGTACTTCTACTGGTACTTAGAAACCTTGCAGGTGCCTGACTGTAGGGTCTTTATCGTGTCCTAAGGGTCAAACTCATCACCATATTTGGGGACAAGAAGGAATTTTCCTGCCAGGTCAGCTTGCCATGGACTGTGGGTTTTTTCCTTTCTCTTTAGTTCAATGCATAGTCCTCTTCTGAGGATCATCTGAGCATATATTAA